AGTAGTAGTAGTAGTAGTAGTAGTAGTAGTAGTAGTAGTAGTAGTAGAACACGGGGTTCCGCGAAGGGCCCCGACCTACCACGAAGTTAGTAGAACGTGTTTTTGCAAAACCCTTTCTGTGCACTACCCTTCCGTTTGTCTCTGAGTTTGGATTCAGGAATCTTCATATTTGTTACTGTATTTCAGCATTTCTTGCTTCTGTGAATCTTCTCCAGGTGCTCTTTTCTTGTTCCTTCACAGTTTGTGTCACAATCCTGGCTCGACAAGGACAGCGTGGAAGCTCTCGGGGAAGCAGAAGAAGCTCTGAAACAGGCGAATGGAGAAACAGACTGTGCACTTCCTACTATATAGACTTGTAGACTTCAAGTCGGTGTCATGAGACATCTCTGCGTTGTCCTTGGTCATTTTTCTTTGGCTTCCAGATGCAGCAATGCCCACAAACCAAGATGAAGCATACCGGCACACCCCATATGGCTAGGCAGCTAGTCAGCTAGTCTAGAGAAGCAAATATGGTCTGAATCTTGCCTCAGACTTGCTGATGGGTCTTGTGCAGTCTCGGAAAAGTCCTATTGAGAAACGAAGTGAACGTGCCAAACAGAGGCAAGAGATGCAAGAATGACATGGAGTGAGGGGTGGGTCAGAGGAGGATGGAGCCCATCGCTATTGGAGTTGTCAGACGGGTGAGACGGGTTTGGACAATCCGTGGAGGCCATGCGCCAAGTTCTTGAGCAGGAGGCCGAACAGATTTTGCCCGATTCGCTGAACAGCTCGATTCATCTTCCGTCACTTCCCAAAGCGGTTCGTACAGGGCTTTGCCCAAAACTGTAGTATCGTTGGTATTCTTTCAGATTTGGAGAGAGATCCCCAGGCCTGAGAGGATGCCTTTTCTTTTATGGATTTGGAAGACATGTTTTGGATCTCGACCACATTTTTCTATATTTTTCTTACCTGATTTACCAAAAACAGGAAAGAACGATGGATTAGCAGCTTAGCAAAAAGGAGCACAAGAATAAGGTGTTTGGGGCTCTTAAGTAACGGAGCCTTATTAAAGAGGCCCAAACACAGTCTATTTACGTTTCTATTTTTCAATTCCATCGTAGGTTGGAGGCCATCGCTTAGGCCATTGGTATTGGGGTCCTTTTGCTAATCGATCTACTAGGAGCAAGAAGCTACTAGGAACAAAGGGCATCGCTACTAGGAACATGGACGCTACTAGGAACAAGTGCATCGCTACTAGTAACAAGTGCCTTACTAGTAGTAACAAGAAGCTATTAGAAACAAGTGCATCGCTACTAGGAACATGGACGCTACTAGGGGCTTCATTGCTCACCTCGCTCTCACTCCGTCCTTCGCACCACCAACTTCGTTTTCTGCGGAAGGCCACTGCTGGAAACGTCAGCAGCAGCGGGCGGCAAAGTGAAGAGCTTCACAGCTTGGAGGAACGCCGATTGCAAGCTTTACAAGCTCCTTATGATTTTTGCTTTGCACCTGATTTTTGGCAGACAAAATGTGGTCTGAGGGTTGAAAAGCTGTGACTTTCCTTTAGTTTGAGTTTGAGGCACAACTCAAGGCTGAAGTGGCAGAGGCACGTGTGCTGGAGATGACAATGTCTCTCGCTCAGAGAGAGAGAGAGAGAGAGAGACATACCGAGCATGCCTTGGAATGGCAGGTCCTCAAGTCTACTAGTAGCTTCTTGTTACTAGTAGCTTCTTGTCACTAGTAGTAATGCACTTCTTACTAGTAGCGATGCACTTGTTACTAGTCACAGATGTCAGAAGCTAGTCTTGCAACCCTATCTTGGATTCCATTGGCCCTTGGAATTTAGATTTTCAAGGCCAAATTGCTCAACACGTTCGGTTCCAAGTGTGAAAGACAAATCCATAGAGAGAGGACATTGGACTGATCATTTTGAACTGCATTGACAGCGGCAATACCGGAGTGTCAAGAAACTATGCTGTTCATTCATGCGACAGACGAAACTGAGCTGATTTGAGGAAGGGCAATTTATAGAGCAGAGCGCAGCTTAGAACACTTCACCCTATGGAAAGCCGCGCCAGTGCACTCAGAGAATTGCTCAGATAGCTCCCCACATCCATATAACAGCTTAGTCTCCTTGGACTCTGTCTCCAAGGAACTATTTGTTCTTCGTATAGTATACTTAGCATGTGCTTTCAGACAGGAAGAGTTTCCTACGAAGGGGAGGATCTATGTCAGAAATGGCAACAGAAATCGAAGATCTCTCGTCTTCGACTTCGAAGACATCTCAGGCCGGAGATCAATGCAAACCTCTCGGCTTTGTCCAATCCGGCCGACCCGTTCTCAGGGCCAACCCAATGCGAGAAAGCACCTAGGAGCGATCGGACGCTACGAACGGGGCTCCTGGCCTTACTACTAGGAGCAAGGACGCTACTAGGAACAAAGGGCATCGCTACTAGGAGCAAGGACGCTACTAGGAACAAAGGGCATCGCTACTAGGAGCAAGGACGCTACTAGGAACAAAGGGCATCGCTACTGGGAGCAAGGACGCTACTAGGAACAAAGGGCATCGCTACTAGGAGCAAGGACGCTACGAGGAACAAAGGGCATCGCTACTAGGAGCAAGGACGCTACTAGGAACAAAGGGCATCGCTACTAGGAGCAAGGACGCTACTAGGTGTATCGCATCAAAGGGGTAGAATGAGCACTTTATCGTTGATATCGGATTGCGCGAGCTCAGTCATAGTCCTTTCTCCGGGTCGCTTTTCTACTGCCATTGTTACTAGTAGCTTCTTGCTCCTAGAAGGCGATGCCAGGAGCCCCTAGTAGCGTCCTTGCTCCTAGTAGTAAGGCCAGGAGCCCCTAGTAGCTTCTTGTTACCAGTTGTAGTTTAAGGCGCCAACTTATCAAGAACCGTGTAACATTCTCCCTTCAGCGCCGTTCCACTTGTGTTTGCACACCCCAACGGTATGTGCGCTTCAGGTTCCCAGCTATAAAGGCGTCTCACAGCACAATCTTCGCATCTACTTGTATCGAGACAAAGATAAGAGTTATTAACTTGATTCTTGAGAGTCTTCTCCACAGAAGGGTCGCACAGATTTGAGCACTTGCCTGACTTGCCATTCTACCATGTTTCTACATGTTTTTACAAAGGCACATTCTTCAATGCCTTTATGTTACCAGGCTCTTTCCTAGTTTGCCGCTCCCCTAGGTTGAGAACTGGCTTAGCGAGCAGCAAAGGGAGGCAAAGACAAAAGTCACAAGACAAAACAGCAAAAGAAATTGTAAAGGGAAAGCTCAGAACATGCTGAGGTGGATTTTGAGCCACCCATTATTTGTGCCAGGAGATCAAGAGTGCATACCAACGCTTTTTGGCCAGGCAGGAAACGCAGACAACTTCCAAACAAGGCAAGCGTCAAACATCTCATTGCACCTGAGGTGTCAAGAGCTGGACTTGGGCATTTCCAAACCAAGGCAAGGCTCGCTATTAGGTTGGAGGCCATTGCTAGTAGATTGCATTGCCTTGCAGTGCCCTGCCTTTTTTGCCTGCCCTTTCGCAGTCCATCCGACGAAGAGGGTGATGTGAGGTGGGGGAGAGAGTGGCAGTGCATGTTTCCGACCTGGGTGAATGGGGAGAATGGCCGAAAATAGACACCGACCTGGGGAGAATGGCAACTTCTGTAACATCACTTCTCCTCTAGGCTACAAGACTTCCAGGCTACAAGATGCTAATCTTGCAACAACTTTTCTTAAAACGGTTCTCCAGGACAAGCCAGCTCAATGCAATGGAGGCGCTGTTTGGTCCGGAAAGACGATTCCTTTGTGCCTTCAACATGTCTGATTTACCAGTCGAACATGTTGAACAACAAAGGTTTACTGTACTTTGATAAACACCACTTTAAGGAACCTAATAGCTATGGCCTCCAACCTAAGAGCAATGGCCTTCAGTATTACTGTTGCCTTATTTGTGATTCAATTGCAATTGTGATTCAATTGTTGTGGGAAGATTTCAAAAGACTGCAACAACAAACTCTTCTTTCAGAAGTCAGTTCGTTTTCTCACGGAGTCTTTTCGAACAAACCTTGTTTGTCTATTTTATGGAGGTTGGAGGCCATTGCTAGTAGGTTTGAGGCCATTGCTATTAGGTTGGAGGCCATCGCTAGCAGGTTGGAGGCCATCGCTAGTAGGTTGGAGGCCATTGCTATTAGGTTGGAGGCCATCGCTGGTAGGTTGGAGGCCATCGCTAGCAGGTTGGAGGCCATTGCTATCAGGTTGGAGGGCATCCCTAGCAATTAGGTTGGAGGCCATCGCTGGCAGGTTGGCCATCGCTAGTAGGTTGGAGGCCATTGCTATTTTTTACGATCCTTTGGAACTTGGTTGCAGGTGGCTTCAGCTGAGCGGCCCCTGGTCCGCCTCACTGGCGGCATTGTTGGTGCATTGATGGTTCTAAGCGATGCAGCTGTCAGTGGAGTGATCTTGTTTTGGGCGTGTGGTTTATTATCAGGTCCAAAGCCATGTTGATCAAATGTTTTGCCCGGGCAATGCAAGTAATACAACTGAATTCCGGGATTTGGCTGCGACGCAGTGCAGCTTGAGCATCGAGACAGGTGTAGATGCTTCATCTGTTGTTGGTGCCTACGCCGGGTACGAGCCGCGCTTGGCGTGGCAACACAGAAGGTTGCTACTGAAAATAAAGCTCTGGATGTATCAAGAGACACAGGATTGGGGGTGCAAGACCATCCAGAGCTTTGCTATCATGTCGGCGCTGCATCTCAGGTCTACATCGACTCAAGTGGACATGTCAACCATGAGGCTAGACAGATACCTAACAAATGTCAGATTAAGCTACTCGTACTAGCAACAAGGGCATCGCTACTAGGAGCAAGAAGTTACTAGTAGCTCCTGGCATTACTACCAGTAACAAGGGGGTCGAGCTTTCTGGGGTGCAGAATGCTTCAGAGTATGGAGTGCATGATGTGGATGCACAGTGAATACCTGCGGTGTGCATGCGCGGCGCTTCGCAGCGAAAGACGTGGTGAAGGCACCTTCAGAGGCCGTGACGAGCTTCGACGGAACCTTTACCACGGTAACTGGGCCGAAGGGGTTGAGCTCGTTTCACGGCAAACTTTACAACTAATGAAGCTTCAAAGACCTAAAAGGCTTCTTGTTACTATTAGCGATGGCCTCCAACCTAATAGTGATGGCCTCCACCTAGTAGCTTCTAGTTACTAGAAAGCTTCAAAGACATACTAAAAAGCTTCTTGTTACTACAGGTGAAACGATTCCCAGTGAAACGATGAAACAATGGATTTTGTGCATTCAAAGCACGGTTTGTCAAGCTTCTTGTCATAGCTTGTTTGCTATGTTCGTTCCTCTTTATCGGCTTTGTCCTTGTGTACTTTTGCTTTCCTCTGCTTCAACCTGAGGATTTGCCGCTTTGGAATCAATCTGCCGGGGGACCCAGAATTCATCGACCGCACGGTTCTTTTCCTTTTGTTGCTCTGTTCTGGTATCAAAACCCTTGGAATTGAGAATCTTGGCTTTGCATTGCACCAAAGTCTTGAGATTCAAGTCTGCATGCCAGTGACACTGAAAATTGCTCTCGACCGTCAATCGCTTGTTGGATTTGAGGCTCTCCGGCTAATGCAGGCAAGGCTTTGATAGATCAAATAGTGGGCGGCGGGCGGTTTGTTTGTTTGTTTGTTTGTATGTCTGTTAAAGATCAGCATATGGACAGGCAGACTCCACTACATCGCCGACAGCTGGAAATCAGGATCTTGTAATGAGTCACCTTCCACTAACACCATGCTGAATCTGCTCGAAGTCTGGACTTGATTTTGTCAGGAGTGTCAGATTGCAGAGCGACCACAGAGAAGACGTCGCCCGCAGTTGCACGGTTCTCAGGTTCTAAACTTCGGTACCACGATGACCGGTGGATGAAGGACACCCAAATGACATCTTAAGTCATCGCCCAAATGACCTTTACAAGAATGACACACACACACACACACCAGTTCATGCATTTTGGACTTGATATGGATCAATCTTGAAAACTCATATAGCTCCATGTTCCATACTTCTTTTGACAATCTGACTTTTCAGCCCACAGCTTTGCCTGCGCTTTGCTTCCATGTTTCGTTGAGAACCCTTTCTTTTTTTGCGATTGCACTCTTCATTTTAGCCCCAAGTGACCAACGAGTGAGGCAACGAGCTATGACCCGCAGAGAAAGGTGCCGGGAGCATGGAAGTGCATTAGTCTATTTTTGTGTCTGTTAACTCGTGTCTGCGTCTGTTTTGGCAGGCGGCTTGAGCGAACGATGAGTGGGCAGCCCTACCATGTTTTGGACACAGCCATGATCTCAGAGCAAGTGAATTTGGCAGTTTTTTCTTAAAGTAAGGCCTCCAACCTACTAGCGATGGCCTCCAACCTACTAGTGATAGCCTCCAACCTACTAGCGATGGCCTCCAACCTACTAGTGATGGCCTCCAACCTACTAGCGATGGCCTCCAACCTACTAGCGATGGCCTCCAACCTACTAGTGATGGCCTCCAACCTACTAGTGATGGCCTCCAACCTACTAGTGATGGCCTCCAACCTACTAGTGATGGCCTCCAACTAAGCTTCTGGACAAGCAAAATCTGCAAACATTTTTCGAAACAGTCGCAGCACCAGTTTCGCGTGCGAGCTTCGCACGTCAAGTTTCGTCTCAAGGCCCGCGCTGTCGTCCAGGCCAGGGTTTTGTTTTGCCAATCGTCTCAAAGAAAAAGCCATATCCGAATCAGAGTGTTGAGACAGCACTTTGTTCATCGATGAAGAGGCTGAAGCGTTTTTTGTCTCGGGCTTCTTAGTGACCAGTGAGTCTGCTATGAGGTGGAAAAAAGCAAAGAAGAGAACAAAAAAGAAGGGAAAAACATGTCTAGCAGATGGCATTGAGTTTGAGCAAGGCCGGCTCTACGCTTTTACCAGCTTCCGCACTACCTCCACATGCTCTACCAGGAGCAAGAGCCCTCAGGGCGACGAGTCGGTTCACGGCTTCCTCGGCATTACCGTACTGCTTTAAGTGTAGAGTCGTATTCACTCTGGCGCTGCCTACGCGTATAATTGCTGTTCTACAAGAGGTTTTTGCAAAATGCGGGCTTGAGACAGTTTCATCATGTTTCATCAAATCTAGAAACACTTGACTGCACCTTTCACGCTTGTTCAAAGACACCTTACAGATGGCCAAAGAATGTCCACCTTCAACAAAGTATCACTTAAATTCTTATTGTTACTACTAGTAAGGCACTTGTTACTAGTAGCGATAAGAATGTCCACCTTCGAATCACCGCAACATTTTTTGAAGGTCTTGGTGCGGCGCTACACCTTCTTGATCAGCTTCTTGTGGATTGTCAGGGTGTCCAGTGACAGACTACAGACGTTACAGTATTTTGAGGCTTTCCTGACCTTGGAATCTGTCAAGGCCAAAGTTTACTAGGTTGGGAGGCCATCGCTATTAATTAGGATTAAGTGCATCGCTACTAGGGGCTCCTGGCCTTACTACTAGGAGCAAGAAGCTACTAGTAACAAGGGCATCGCTACTAGGAGCAAGTGCCTTACTAGTAGTCTCTGTTTTCTGACTTTGCACTTGTGCGGTTGGCCGAACATTTCTCACTAAGGTTTCTGGCATCACCCACGGCATCAGGTGGACCTCAAATCACGTCATCATTGCAGGCGAGACGGACCTATCAGACCTCGATACGGACATTTCGACTGAGAGTTGAACACCTTCTCCTAGTAGCTTCTTGTTCCTGGTAACACCGTGTACATTTTGATTTTTTAAGTGTACAAGTGCCCAGTGCACACCTGAAGGGCCTGAAGGGGCCTCAGCCTTCGGGCCTCAGCTCTGTTTGTGTAAAACTCGACCTTTCGGTTCGTCAACGTGTGCAGTTTCAAGTCTCAAATACAGTAGAGCTTGCGAGTCATGCTTCGTCTGTATTGTAGGTCTCAACAAGTGTCCGGCACTAGCGTTTTTTCGTCCGGCACTTTATACTTGAAATGGCCGCTCGCTTCGAAGGTGAGCCGTTTCTGGACGGACACGCCTTGCAAGTGCAATGGCCGAAGCCCGCGCATCTTTTTGAGGCCAGAGATGTTCAGTCAATTTGCTTTTACTGTGTTTCTCACTTTTTACAGTGTTTTATTTTTTACAGTTTTGAATGCTTTGTGAGAGCGAAGTTGAGAAGGGGGGTTGTGAACAATGCGAATTTTGAGTGTCACTGTGTATCACAGGTGAATGGCCTGGAGTGCAATGGCTCTCAGGTGCTTGGCCCTTGGCCAAGGGATGGAGTCTGTTACGTCCTTGCTCCTAGTAGCGATGCCAGGAGCCCCTAGTAGCGTCCTTGCTCCTAGTAGACTTTTGTTCTAAGGCTTCTTCAAAACCGTTTCAGCCACTTCCGTGCTGTTCTTGGGCTCGAGATGACGCATTTGGAGGATAAGAAGATTCGTGAATTACTACTAGTCGCTTCTTGCTACTAGTAACAAGGTGCATCTACTAGTAACAAGAAGCTACTAGGTGGAGGTGGAGGCCATCGGTAGTAGGTCGGAGGCCATCGCTACTAATTAGCTAACTTGCTAAGTAGGTCGGAGACTCGTGAATTGTGTCGCAAGTGACTCCAGTTCTCCCTCAGGAGCTCCAGGAGCTCCAGGAGCTTCCGTCACCAGGCTACGGGCGGCTACGGGTGAACACAGAATCAGATACTTGTTACTAGTAGCATGAAAAACCACTAGTAGTATGGCCTTGTTGCTAGTAGCTTCTTGCTACTAGTAGGATGTTGGAAGTAGGAAGCGGAAAGGCAATGAAATCTATGTGATGTTACTTGATGATCTTGATGTGAGGCGATCATCACCATTTGCAGATTCCCAGCCAGTGTCATGGAGGATAATATTTGGTAATTATGCTGCCCATCGCAAAAGTTTCAAGGCAATGTGGAGCAGTCTTCAAATGATACAACCAGCGGGAAATAGAAGTATCTGAGCCTTATTTGTGTTGTGGAGCAAAGCTTGTTGCTAGGTGTTCTTACTTCTTGTTCTCGTTTTTGTTCCTTTCTGTTGGTTTTGAAGACCAATCTGCAACACTTCGTTTTAGTGCAACCAACGTGTTTTGGAGACCATCGCTACTAGGTTGGAGGCTATCGCTAGTAGGTTCCTTTTGCGATTAGGTTCTCTTTCTCTATTTGTTTCCCATTGTGCTTCGGGCCCCGAGTTTGAGGTGGTTGCATTGGTCTGTCCAGCCTTGCAACGGCAGTGGACACAGAAGAAGAGGAGTCCAGAACAAACTATCGAGAAGAGGAGTAGTGCGTAGAAAACATGAGAACTACTAGCGATGGCCTCCAACCTAGTAGCAATGATGATAAAACATGTAGAGTGAGTAGTAGAGAAGAGTAGTACTACAGTAGTACAAGGTTCTTTCTCGCAAGAAGGACTCCATTACTCTGAAGTAGCACAGTCTTGAACATTACCACAAACCAAGAAGGCATTGAATAACAGACAAAGCAAACTTCTATTCTTTCTCTTCTTTTTAGACCTTCAGACCTTTCTTCCTTTTCTTTTTCTTGTATTTCTTTCTACCCTTCTATACCTTCCTTTGTACCTTGCATTTCCTTTCCAAAAAGGCCTGGAGCCGACATCACCCCGAGGCTGCGCAGAGCGCTGGGCGGCTGGATGGGCGTCCTCTGGTGAGGCATTCTGCGGTGCATTCTGCGACGATAAATCCGTCATTTCGCATTCTGGTGGAATCCAACGTGGGAGCAAGGACGCTACTAGGGGCTCCTGGCATCGCTACTAGGAACAAAGGACGCTACTATGGGCTCCTGGCCATACTACTAGCAACAAGGTTTGCTATTAAAGCTTCGATGTCCAAGAGCTGCAAACCAACCTCTGCGTGCTACTTGCAGATCTTTGTGGGAGTCGCAAGCAACGAAAGCAACGCAGCACCACGCTTGAGGCCTGTCAGCATTCAATATCAGACCTTTACTCGACCATAAAAGTGCATTTCAGTATGCTTTGCATTTCCTTTATCAAACTCGTGAAGTTGAGTTAAGAAGGACACTGCCGCTGTACGAAATGAGATTTCTCATCTGCAAAGTTGCTTGTATGAACAAAATTCCATTGGTGAAGATTCGTTCAATATTTGCATCTATGAACAGCATAATTCCATTGGGGAAGATTTGTCATTTGCACTTCCCAGTAGAATTCACACTTCAAAAGTCAAGTAAAATTGCGGACATCTATCAATGCTTTAGAATCTTTCAGAGGTATCGCTCTTAGGTTGGAGGCCATCGCTCGTAGGTTGGAGGCCATCGCTCTTAGATAAAAGGCCATTGCTCTTAGGTTGAAGGCCATTGCTCTTAGGTTGGAGTGGTGCTGGTGCTGCAGCTGCTGGTGCTGGTACAGTCTAAAGGATCTTCACTCTGGGCGTTCCCCTTGGTAGCACAGGTAGTGATCTGTTCACCCTGTTGTTCATCCTCGTTCCCCCACTGACTTTTAGCATTCCATTAAAACTATGCGTTTTTGCTGCTTCCCGTGACTTCCACGACTGCCTGTGGAAATCGTGCAGCCACAGGTACGCCTTGAAAGCGAGCTTGGCATCGTGCATGGATCCTGGTGCGAAGATCCGGGAGAAAAATGAAAAACCACGAAGTGGAGGCCATTGCTGGTAGGTTGGAGGCCATTGCTAGTAGTTTGGAGGCCATTGCTGGTAGGTTGGAGGCCATTGCTAGTAGTTTGGAGGCCATTGCTGGTAGGTTGGAGGCCATGTCTAGTAGGATGGAGGCCATTGCTGGTAGGATGGAGGCCATCTCTAGTAGGGTGGAGGCCATCTCTAGTAGGTTGGAGGCCATTGCTAGTAGGTTGAAGGGGCTAGTAGGTTGGAGGCCATCGCTAGTAGGTTGGAGGCCATCGCTAGTAGGTTGGAGGCCGTCGCTAGTAGGTTGGAGGCCATCGCTACTAGGTTGGAGGCCATCGCTATAGATTCGGTTGGAGGCATTGCTACTAGGTTGGAGGCCATCGCTATTAGGTTCGGTTGGAGGCCATCGCTACTAGGTTGGAGGCCATCGCTATTAGGTTCGGTTGGAGGCCATCGCTACTAGGTTGGAGGCCATCGCTATTAGGTTCGGTTGGAGGCCATTGCTACTAGGTTGGAGGCCATCGCTATTAGGTTCGGTTGGAGGCCACCGCTACTAGGTTGGAGGCCATTGCTATTAGGTTCGGTTGGAGGCCACCGCTACTAGGTTGGAGGCCATCGCTATTAGGTTCGGTTGGAGGCCACCGCCACTATAGGTTGGAGGCCATCGCTTTTAGGTTCGGTTGGAGGCCACCGCTACTATAGGTTGGAGGCCATCGCTATTGGGTTCGGTTGGATGCCACCGCTACTAGGTTGGAGGCCATCGCTACTAGGTTGGAGGCCATCGCTATTAGGTTCGGTTGGAGGCCACCGACTAGGTTGGAGGCCATCGCTATTAGGTTCGGTTGGAGGCCACCGCTAC